ATTCTGAAATTCAGAGATGAGGCGTACTGGAGAAGCAACAGGTTTGGAGGAATGTAGAATCGAGTTTTGTTTTGGCTATGTTAGGTTGGAAATGCTGTGTAGGCAATTTAGATATCCAACTCTGGATTTCAGGGTACAATTTGGAACTGGAAAAATAAATCTGGGAGTCATTAGGGAATAAGCATGACTTTGGATAAGATCACCCAGTACAGCTAGAGAAGAGAAGGCAGCGAAAGACAGAGACCTAAGATATGCCATCATTAAGAAGTAGACAAAAAGAAGAAGAACCAGCAAAAGACTGAGAAGGACCCACTAGTGACCCAGAAGAAAAATCAGGAGACTAGTATTCTGAAAGCCACCAGAAGAAAGTGTTTCACAAAAGGGAGGTAGTATTGAATGGTGTGGAATGTTGCCTGTATACCTAGAAAAAAGCAACTTCGGCTGCTTTTTAAGTAAATGTGATAGAGTTTGTACTGCAAATAACTTTCCATATTGTTTTTCAAATCATGATATTTTAGTTCTTAAGATCATGTAGAACTTTCCATTGTGAAAAGGGATTTGATTATTTTTATCACTAAAGAAACTTTTCTAAACTTAATTTAAAAAAAAAAAAAACACCAAACCAAATTAATTCTAGAAACTTGGTTACCATGGACTAAATGTCTTCCCACTACCCTGTTAACAGTCTGAACTGCTCATTAGAAAGATATTGGCTTATCCCCTTATAAAATGTTTTATAGGTTGCCTTATTTAAATTCCACTACTGACCTCCCAACATTTGAGACAAAGGATCAGTTTCTTAGAAACTATGTATTTAGTCTGTCTTTCACCCTTTACTCCCTGAAGACTCAAAGCCTCCTAGCACAAACTCCACCCCTCAAATTCCCAGTTCACCGACACCAACCCAGAGATCACATCCTTATCAGAAGCTGGAAAGAGGGAAAGCTCGAGCCCATCTGGGAAGGACCTTACCTGCTGCTCTTAACAACTGAAACAGTAATCCCAACTGCTGAAAAAGGGTAGACCCATTAAACCCAAGTCAAGAAAGCATTGCCCTCTTCAAAGCCATGGACTGTTGTCCCAGGGCCAACTCCCACCAAAGTCATGTTAAAAAGAAAAGTCTAATCAGTCTGTCTCTTTTTTTTTTTCTCTTCTCTTTCCCTTAACCACCTCCCCCCATTTTACTATTAATGTAACTAAGTCAAGCTCACCCCAAACTATGACTTTTAATGCTTGTTTTGTTATACCCTGCAGGAACCTTCAATGCCAAAGAGAAATAGCATCAGAAAAATACCTCTGCCCCTCCAGGGAAGCCGCTACTGCCCCCTTATCCTGCCTATGGTGGGGGGATCAGCACTCTCTCCCCAGTTTACATTCTCAATGGGCATTGTTGTTTAGATCACCAAAAATCAAGGTTAGACATCCTCAGATGATTGTGCCACCCTAAAGCCTTACCTCCATTTCACCAAAGGAGTCACCCCCACCGCCCACAACTGTCAAACCCACCAGTGCAACCCGCTACTTGTCTCTATTACTATCCCTACCTCTAGTAACTCTAACCCCACCTTAGGCGCTTCTATGGTCTAGGAGAAAATGTCGTTAGAAAGGACTCTATAGGCTTCTTTGAAAAGCGCTTTGTTTCTTCCCCTCTATCCTCTATTGTTACCCCTTCCCCAAGCCCATCCAATCAAACCATCTCCCATTTCATGCCCAATGACAAAATCAAGGTAGTTGTAATAAAAGTCAAGGATTTAAAACAAACTTTAGCCATAAAAACTGGGTACCAAGATATAAATGCCTGGCTGAAATGGATTAAATATTCCATTCACACCTTAAATAAAAGCAATTGTTACGCTTGTACAACAGGCAGACTAGAGACTCAAATCGTCCGCTTTCCACTTGGATGGTCCTCTGACCAACAGAATATGAACTGCATAGCAGCTCTCTTCCAAGACCCCACAGCCTGGGGCAATAAGGCCTGCCAGTCTCTCTTGTTACTATTCCCAGAAGTTAAAGGCTCTATGGGTCAGCCCTTGAGAGCTATTTGGCCTCCAATTAACACTGTCAATTTTACCTTGTGTCTCTCACGATAGGGGGAAAATTTGGAATTCCTTGGAAGCCTAACAGGATGCAGTGAATCTAAGCCTTTTCAAGAGTTAACCAGCCAATCTGCCCTTGTTCATCCCCAATCCGACGTATGGTAGTACTGCAGTGGACCACTATTAAGTACTCTGCCAAGTAAGTGGAGCGGCACTTGCGCTGTAATCCAATTAGCCATCCCTTTCACCCTGGCATTTCATCAACCAAATAGAAAGAACAATTGTAAAAAAAAAAGTGCCCCCCCTCAGGTCTTTTGATCCTCACATATATATAAATGCCATCAAAGTTCCACAAGAGGTGCTAAATGAATTTAAAGCCAGGAATCAAACAGCTGCAGGATTTGAATCTATATTGTTCTCATGAGTAACTGCAAACAAAAATGTAGACTGGATAAATTACCTTTATTGTAATCAACAGAAGTTTGCTAATTATACTAGGGATGCCGTTAAAGGAATAGCTGAACAATTAGGTCCTACCAGTCAGATGGCTTAGGAAAATAGAATAGCCCTTAACATAATATTGGCCAAAAAGGGCGGGGTCTGTGTCATGATTGGAGTCCAATGTTGTACTTTTATCCCTAACAACACAGTCCCCAATAGAACAATCACAAAAGCCTTACAGGGCCTTACCACCCTAGCACATAAATTAGCCGAAAATTCATAGAAAAATGGTTTAGAAAATAGAAAGGACTCATAGCATCAGTCTTTATCCCCCTTGCAATTGTTATCAGCGTACTCATTCTTGTAAGTTGCTGCATCATACCTTGTATTCGTGGATTAAGGCAAAGGCTTATAGAAAAAGCCCTTACCAAAACCCCTCTCTATTCTCCCCAACCTTACTCAAATAAATTCCTATTCTTAAACAACCAAAAGGAACTACAAAGCCAAGAGATGTTAGAAAAATTTAAGAAATCTGAAGAGGAAGAACTATAAAATCAAAAGGGGGAAAGGTGTCAGAAATAGTAAGTTCCAAGCTCCCTTGGTCTTTCTTGCTCTGTACACAGCCCCCATTCTTGCTTAATTTGTAACTAGCAAACCTCTACACGCCCAGACATGCCCAGACTTGTTCTGTAAACTACCCTTTCTGCCTTAGCAACAGTCTCTTCCTCCCCTCCTCTGGCAAACTGCATGTTTACCATATTTAGAAAAGTTTAAGTCTTAGCCAACTGGGTTAGTTTAGATTGTGCAGTCCGACTCCAGCCAATGAGGAGAGGACACAGCAACAGGAGCTGCGTTAGGGATAAAAACCTTTCTCTCCTTTGTTCGGTGTGCTCTTACGATTGGTTGGACACAGGCAGCACCTTTCTGCAGAAGTAAATGTGCCTTCCTGAGAAATTTTCTAAGTGCTAGTTTTTCTTTATGGCACCAAGCACTTGTTTCTAACAACTATGTGCCAGAAAGTGGTGCACCCTAACTCCACAACCCTGACTCCAGGAGGACAGACAATCCAGCACTCAGGACACTTCCAGACCTGGCCCTGTGCACCTCTTCAGCTGGTGTTCATTTCTATCATTTATAATACATGATAGTTGTTAAGTATAAACAGTGTTTTACTGAATTCTGTGAGTCATTCTAGCAAATTATTGAACCTGAGGGTGGGGCTCATGGCATCCTCCAAATTTGCAAACTTTTAGTGTCACAGTTGAACTACACAGTTGGACACCCAGTTGGTGTCAGAGAATTGGTTGGTGTCTGGAAAAACATCATACGTTTTGTGTTAGAAGAAAAGAATGTAAAAAATGCAAGCAAAGGATAGAGGACTACCCACTATAGGTATGTCTAACACTGAATGGACAGAAGAAAGAAGCAGTTTTTCAAAGGATCCTTTGCATCTTAAGACACTTAAAAACAGAAATGCAAACAGAAAATTCATGAATTTTCCAACTATTCTTTTCTGCTGGATGCATTGGTTTCTTAACATGTATATATGAAACAACAACAACAAAAGACTCTTCATTAGGTGATATATTTTTGTCATGTAATTTTTAAGGCAAATTATACTTCCATTTACTGTTCTATACTATTGCTCTCTCTCCAAAACTGGAAGACATATATTCAAGCTGGGCATCTGCTGAGGCTTTTCATTTAGTCAGAAGTGTTAAATAAAATTTATGGTAGGCCAATGTTTTGGACTGAGCTCCTGCACTAGGCCCTAACATACCAGATTAAACCAGAATGGAGTAGTCACTTGTGCGAGGTGACACCTAATCAAACTGAACTTGGAAATGGGCCAGTTTTCCAAAAAACAGGAGATTCACAGCAATCGATGATAAGGGATCACTGAGTTGAGCTGGTATGATAAGGAAGTCCCTTCTGCTTTAATCCTCTAAGGAAGGTAACTGTGGAAGGATCAATCTGAGTTTTGTTCCTTATTTCTGCTTTCTTCAGCTTTTTCTGCCTATAAAGCCTACCCCCTTTGCTCAGCTCACTGGGGTACCTTTCTACTTCATAGATGGAATGCTGCCTGATTCATTAATCATTAATAAAAGCTAATTCAATTTTTCAACTCAATTTGTTAAAATTTTGTTCTTTCACAGGGGGAGGGTAACAAAGGTAATAGTTATAAAGCAGAAGCAAAAAAGGGGAGAAAAGTCAAAACCAAGAACACTCAAAAAATTATGTAACAATAATTTGCTTAGCTTAACATGTACTCAAATGTAATTTTACATATATCAGGAAAACAGTTAAATTATGACAGTACTAACTTCTGCATAAGCTGAGGCCTAAATTGATGAACTCAATCTCAGACCATATTGTACTTCTACACATGTACATGCTATTACCAAAGTATTTAGATCTGGCAGGGACCTGAGAGAACGGCTTGACCTAGGAGGTAACCACTGGCCGAATGCGCTATTAGAGCACCAGCCAGCCCTGTGCTTTGGGTTGGAGCAAGCTCACCTGAATCACACACAGTAGCAATGTCACCTGAGGTTTCACTGGCAGAGACAGCCGTGACAGGGCTTTTGTGTCCCGCCAGACTTTGTACATAGCATAACCTGAAAGACAAAAGACATGATTTTGTATATGATCATTAAATATAATTACATTCTCTTATTTTGTAATTCTTTTTCTCAGTCTATGTTTGTACATAGCATAACCTGAAAGACAAAAGACATGAATTTGTATATGATCATTAAATATAATTACATTCTCTTATTTTGTGATTCTTTTTCTCAGTCTATGTACCTATTGTACATAAGGCATACATGTTTTCCTGATTGTTTGACTTCAATAAAATATAAAGGTAATCTTACTACCTTTAAGCATGTGTTTCATGGTTAAAATGATTATAATGTAAAGATATTATTTTGGTTTATTTCATATAGCAAAAATGGATATATTAAAAATGCTGTGTTTGATTTGGAGACCTTCTTCTGTACCTGTTTAAATCCCATATGATGCAGGTTCCGTCTCTGCTCACACTTATCAGTATACTGTATGGTTTGCAAACAAATAAGCTGGTTATCTCTTCTGTGTGACCATAGAGATGTATCTGAGTCTCCATTTCTATCTCTGATGGCTGAAATTTTAAAATTAAGTATAAGATAAAAACCACAACAAAAAGTATTCTAGTATAGTATCTCAAAAATAAAACAACCAAAGTGACTCAAATGGTCTTCTCAAACATATCATTCTTCAATCCTATTCAGAGTAAAACAAAGAAAGAAATTAAAAAATTTTTAATTCCTCATAATTTCAACTTATCTGCTTTTTGTTTTTGTCTATTCTTGTCCAATCTTTGTTCAAATATACATGTATTTTTATAGTTGTAATATTGCCACATAAAAAATGTCCTATTTTATATTTTACATATTCTCCTACAAGCATTTTCCAGTTTTGACATTGTCTTCAAAATAATTTTTAATGATGTTATAATATTCTATACAGTTAGTACACCATAATTTACAAGTATTCTTCATTGACAGACATTTAAAATTATTTCTATTTTTTTCAAATTATAGATAACACCATAAATTCTTCATGTATAAAAGGTTTTTAGTAGATTAGAGGGCAGACCTTTGGGAAATAAATAATTAAATTAAAGTTTTTAAAGAAGAAATGCTTCTGTAAAAAAAAATTCTAGGTGCAGTGGCTCACGCCTGTAATCCCAGCACTTTGGGAGGCCGAGGTGGGTGGATCATGAGGTCAGGAGTTCGAGACCAGCCTGGCCAATATGGTGAAACCCTGTCTCTGCTAAAATTTCCAAAATTTTCCTAGTGGGTCCATGAATATTAATAATTTTATAGTTCTTGACAGTATACTTTCAGAACGTGTCATACCAATTGGTGCTGTTACCAATGGTGATGGGGCCTAATGCTACCGATACTCAACAATTATGGCTTGGCTTTCTAAATCAAAGCTTGCAAACTGGTGCTCTGAGGGCCACATTGGCTCTCGGATACCAGATGTCCACACAGGGTTTGACTCTTGCTTTGTTAGGTTAACTATGTGTTATCATAAAGCATTTCAATATTTCCCCTTCAAAATTAGAAAAGTAGAAAGAATAAGTATAATAAAGACCTACATACTAACTACCCAGTTTAACAAATCTTAACATTTCATATTATCAATTTATTTTTTAAATAAAGCATTAAACATTGTACATATAATTTTGTACTGTTCTATATCCTATTTCTGCTCTCTTGTCAGAAGTCACTACTATCCTAAATTTTGTATTTATGTTCCTATGTAAGCTTTTATACTTCTATTATGTTACTATAGCCATAAACAACATACTGTATAATACATACATGCATTATATTGTATTTCATGTTTATGAATTCTAAATACATGGTATTATTTTTTAGGTATCTTCTGCATCTTGCCTTTTCTCAAAAACACCATTGTTTCTGAAATATATCTGTGTTGATATATTAGGTATAGCCATCTATATTAGCTGCTCTGTAGTCCAGTTACATATTTTTATGTACATAAAAATACATATTTTACACTTAAAGAATCAAAAGACCAGGCAATACCAGGCTCACATTATTCCTTAGAACAACTGGCTTGAGCTGTTTAGCAACTGCCTGTTTATCTAGGGCATGTGACCTTCAACTGAAAACCGTCACAGCGACCAGATCAGCTTTTAACAAGAGCAAGAGTCGGAGGCCTGGACCCCCGGGACCTCCCTTTAGAGCCATTCCGGCTCTTGGATTGTGACCCTCTCCACAGCCAGGAGTTTGCAGAGCCACTGGGATATGCCCATAACCCATTTCAGATCATGCTTTGAGGTATGTGGGATCAAGGAATTCCCTGCTCTAAAGGACCTAAGCCCCTTCCTTTTCTGCTTGGGTTGCAGAAAATTGTGATTCGGCCCCACTCTAAATCTTTGAAAACTTCCTAAGTTTCAAGTGGCAATCAAGGTTGCTTTAAATGATATTTATTTTTATAATAAGATAAATTATAAAAGTTATAATACTTTTAACTTTTTCATAAATTATTTTCTTAACTGCATTTTTTGTGTGTGTGCCTGGTTTTGTGTATTTGTCACTACATTAAAACATTTATTTGTGGGAATTCCTCTATTTGTGGAACAGAATGCAAGTAACTTCCTTGCTTCTGCCAGATGACATGACCACCACACCAGCCTGGGGCCACCTTAATGCAAAGTGAAGTCTCTGAGGATCCTAGACAACCCAGGGAATTCCAGCCCAGGATATAACTCCACGCAAGGGTTCTCCCATGTAACTCATTTTCATTCTGAGAGCACAGCCCGTTAGGGACCAGCCTTTTGGAGGCGCACTCTCTTGGCACTCCCCAGCTTGCTTAGTTCCTGGATTCTGTTTTCCATTTCTTCCACACAGGCTGTCCAAGGACAGTGTCAGTGTTTCAGGATTGACAGTGTCCTCAGGGCTAAAGTTCCTTCCTGCTTATTTACCTCTCTGGCTTGGTAGTTTCTTACTAGCTTGTCAGATCTTCAATGCTTTTAAGGCCATATATATACACACACACACACACACACACACACACACACACATACACACACACACACAAACTAAGACTGAATAAAAATATATTTTATTAGTATATATTTACATTATATTAAAATATATACTTATAGGTTATATGAAAACATGAATATATTTTATAAAGATATATTTTTGTATATATATTTTATCCCATCTTCATTGTTTCAGGGGAGGATTATTCTGAACAACTTTTTTAAGAAACAGGAAATCTCTTGTTGGCCATTGGCCATGATCATAATTTTGTTTATTTGTTTCTGCTTTTTGAGACAGGGTCTCACTCTGTCATCCAGGCTGTAGTGTAGAGGTGTGATTATAGCTCACTGTAGCCTCAGACTCCTGGGCTTAAGTGATCCTCCCATCTCAGCCACCTGAATAAAAGGACTATAGACGTGCACTACCATGCCCAACTACTTTTTAATTTTTTTTTGTGGAGATGGGGTCTTGCTATGCTGCCTAGGCTGGTCTCAAAACTCTTGGCTTCAAGTGGTCCTCCCACCTGGGAAGGCCTCCCAAAGTGCTGTGCTGGGATTACAGGCATGAACCACTTGACTGGCCTACAAATATTTTAAATAAGGACAAACAAATGACTTTCTTTTTTTTTTTAAGACAAAGTCTCGCTCTTGTCATCCAGGCTGGAGCACAGTGGCGTAATCTTGGCCCACTGCAACCTCCACTTCCCGGGTTCAAGTGATTCTCCTGCCTCAGCTTCCTAAGTAGCTGGGATTACAGGCACCTGCCACCATGCCCGGCTAATTTTTGTATTTTTAGTAGAGAAGAGGTTCCCCCATGTTGGGCAGGCTGGTACAGAACTCCTGACCTCAGGCAATCCGCCCGCCTCAGCCTCCCAAAGTGCTGGGATTATAGGCGTGAGCCACCGTGCCCGGCCTACAAGTGATTTTCATATTACAGAGAGAGAGAGGGGTAATGTGGAATGCAACCCATACATTTATTCATTCAACAAACATTGCTGAGTATCCCTTACTGTGTGCCTGTCACTAAACCAGGAGCTGGGGATGCACATGTGGTTCCCCTCTGGGAGCTCCATGGCAGTAAGGAGTGAGGGCTACCAAAGATGATTTTCACAGAGAACTCCGGGGACCCACAGATAAGTCGCTTCCTCAGACTGGGGACAGGGAGTGAAAGCAGGATTCCCTGGGAGACGGCCTATGAACTGAAGTTTTGAAGAACTGGCAGAATTTACTCAAAGAAAAATGGCTGTCAAAGGGCAATCTGGGCTAAGAAGACAGCATGTGTGAGGGAAAGGAGATATGTGAGAAAGTGGCACTGCCAATGTTACTGGGAGCAGGGTAGGTAGGGAGCAGGAAGAAATGGGGTGGTGAAGTAGAGGGGGCAGTAAGGCAGAGAGGGGTCAGATCACGGAGCCTGGTGTGTGATGCCTAGCAACCTACATTTTATCCTCCAAGTAATAAACAGTCACTGAAGTGTCTGGGGCAGAAGTAATGTGATGCAGTCGGCATTTTAGGAAGGCCATCACAGAGCCTGCAAGGAGACTCAACTTCCAGGGACATGAGACTGGGGGCCAGGACACCAGTGAGAAGGTCAACATAGGGACCCGGGCAGGATGCAAAGGGCTGAGCTGGGGCAATGGTCAGGGGGACACCTGAAGGAGAGAGGTTTGACTCGTTTCTATTTCTCCTGCGAAGAATTGCTGTGATTCTTTAACCCAAAATTCAAGTTTTAATTGTGGGAAAATCTCAGTCATCATCTCTTCACACTGGGCCTTTCTCCCATTCTCTCATCCTATAACTACTCACCACATTTGCATGCTCTCATTCTAGACCTCATACCCCCTCTTTCCTCATTTTTTTCTTTATCTTTCTATTTTATATTCTGTGTAATTTTTTTCAGTTCATTAATTCTGTAATCTGCTGCTTAACTAGCTGTTCCAATGAATTGGCTGTGACACCTTGGGCAGGTTACAAGAAGGATTAACTGTATGTTTCAGTGGTCTCACGTAAAAATGGAGATAATGACAAAACCTACATCAAAGGGTTATTGCGAAGATTTAATGTGTAGCTCACATCTGTAATCTCAGCACTTTGGGAGGCTGAGGCAGGAGGATTGGTGAGCCCTGGAGCTCGAGAACAGCTTGGGCAGCATAGTGGGAACCCGTCTCTAGAAAAAAAATTGAAAAGTAGTAGGGCATGGTGGTGTGTGCCTGTAGCCCCAGTTACTGGTGGGGGGTTGGGGATGGGGCTGAGGTAGGAGGATCACTTGAGCCTGGGAGGTTGAGGCTGCAGTAAGCCGTGATGGTGCCACTGTACTCTAGCATGGGCGACAGGGCAAGACCCTGTATGCCCAAGAGGAAAGTGGAGAAAGAGAAGAGCAACAAGGAAAGGGAAGGTGCCTTAGCTCAGCAGGCTGCTGGTGCACACAGAAAGGAAGCCCCAGAGAAGCATGTGGCAGACCAGCAGTGAGAAGCATGCTGTGCAGCCTCAGGAAGCCCACAGCAGGCACCACTGATGCAGGAGAGGCTACGAGCCAGGTGGGAGATGAGAAAGGAAAGTACCAGACAACCTGGGGCTGGAATACAATGCACAGCACTTAGAATAAGATCATCCTCACATCTGTTTTATGCTTAGGGCCAATAGTTAAAACCATAGAAATGTAATCAGATGAAAGAATATAGAGAAAAATAAAGATACTTGAGCCCAAAATTAATACATCAGAATATGTAAAGAGTTTAGAACAATGCCTAATACAAAGTAAGCACTCAGTAAATATTAACTATTATTTTTATGTCATTTCTAGAAGTTCTGTTTTATTTTTTTCCACACATACTTTGTTTTTCTCCAGTGTCCCAATTTTAAACAGAACAACTATCTCCAATTCACTGAGTACAGATTAGTGAGTTACTTTGACATTAAAACTAAAGTGAGGCTAAGGTTCTACTTGATAAGTTACAAGTCTGGTCTCCTTGGGCCAATATTTTCCTAAAGTTTTAGGCCATTCTCCTACTGACCATAGTCAATTCCATTCATTATTGTAAAAAATATGTCAGAAGAAACAGAGAGTACAGATTTATTGACCTATTCTCCACCTTTTACTCTGTAAAATGAGTAACAGTTATGGGTAAACACAACACAGGGCACCTAATAGTAGTATTTGATAATTGTTTAATAAACTCTGCACTTTGAAATGATTGCAAAGGCTAATATTACTAGACAATTCACTGATGGGTCAGAAAATAACTTCTGGTGAGTAGAGCAGGTCTCTTGTGCTGGCGCCTTCTTTTAAATATTGTTCTTGAACAAAGTAATACTACCTTGTATAAGCTGCATACATATTCTTCTACCACCCTCAAGTTAGAGAACAGATATATATGTGTTCACTTATATGAAGATGACACGGCCACGTTACTTAGTGACAGAATAACCCGACAGCAACTATTTGTTGTGATCAGTGTGATCACATTTAGAAGATATTCTCCTCTAACATTTAAATGTTATCAGTGATCACATTTAGAAGATATTCTCCTCTAACATTTAAATGGCTTATAGGTAACAATCCCATATCACAAGTCAACTAATTCATCATTACCTAGAATGCATTTTAGAAGACTTTATCTTGGGTGCTCCAACAGAAACTTATGGTGCTCAAAGTTAGATATGCTTACTAGCTAAGGAAAGTATTTCATAAGATCCCCTTGAGAGTATTTTCAAACAAGGATTTGGCCACATCCCATGTGGCACTGGGTTGTGGGGGGCCATCTTTTGTTTGTGTGGAAGACAATCCAAAGGAGGACAGGAACACTTTTAAAACCATGGCATTCAGTGGGTCAGGAAAGCTGAAGAACAGAAACCAGTGAACATGAGGTGTCTCCTGCTAATCTCACAGGCTCAGGGTCAGAATCACAACCTTAGAGATGCCAGAATAGCAACATGATCCCTGGGAAAAAGCAACAACAATGCCTGCAAATACCCAAGTAATTTCCCCTCAAAACAAACTGATAAAACTACACTACTAAGTTAGATTTTTTGGCACTGTTTAATAGTAACTATTAATCTCATGATTTGATTACCTAATAGGTGGAAAAAATCCTATAAAAATTAGCTGAAAAATCTGCTTTAAGGCAAATATACAACTGAGGAAACTAAGCAACATAAACCTTCACAAGTGTGTCATGACCTCAAAACTAAAAGAAGTATATGTCTTGCAGTATTTAAATTGTAATAGCTATGCCCTTGATCTGCTTCCTCAAAGCTATCCTGTGCACAAATACTCCTATAGTGACAGCTTAACCTCTTTTCTAAAACCCGTACTGCACACTGTGTTAGCGTACAATTAAAAATGGAGAAGTAGGGAATACTAAGAACAAGGCTGTTCAAAGTGTTGGCAAAAGCGAAAGGAAATAAAAAGCAAAAGATAAAGCCAGTTTTAAAAAAAGGTGTCCATGTCATGATGCAAAATGATCCAAGTGCACAAGCAGACAACTGCCCTAGAAGCAGGGTTTAGATTTGTGGGAGAAAGTCAGAAAGGGGAGCTCAGAAGATCAAAGACAACGGCAGCATGATTATTACAGATGTTATAAAATTAACATTCATTTTAAGCCTTTGGGAATCAAAAGGTGATAAAAGGAGACATTCAAAAAGTTATGACACTTATATTCTCTGCTTATATCCTTTTTAAAAAACAATTTGTCAGGTCTCTCTCTGCCACCCAGGCTGGAGTGCGGTGGTGTGATCATGGCTTACTGCTGTGATCTCGACCTTCTGGGCTCAAGTGATATTCCCACCTCAGCCTCCCTTGTAGCTGGGACCACAGGCGCGTACCACCATGCCTGACCAATTTTTTTATTTTTGTTTTTTGGTAGAGACAAGATCTTGCTATGTTGTCCAGGCTGGTCTCAAATTTCTGGGCTCAAACAATCTTCTTGTCTTGGCCTCCCAAAGTGCTGGGGCCACAGGTGTGAGCCACCACGCCCTGCTTATATTCTTTAGCATTCTTTTTATCATGACACGTAAAAACCTCATCACTGGCCTCAATCTTTTCCTGCCCTGCTTCTGTCATTCTTCCCCAACACATTACACTCTAAACTACACAGAAAAGTATTTGCCACCCCCCAAAAACCCAAGCCTTTGATTCCAGGTCTTGTGTAAACTATTTCCTCTGCCTGAAATGTTCTTTCCTCTTTCCTTCACTTACAGTAGATTGATCCTTTAGGATCCAGCTCAAGTGTAACTTATCAGGCTCCCTGATGTCTGGATGTCCTTCTTCTGTGGTCCTTTATCCTGGGTGTGAGCCTTTCTCAGAGCACACACTCCACTGTTCTGGCTCCTAAACCTGCCCTTCTTTGCTTTCTGCCTGGATCACTGCAGTGGCCTTCTCGCTGGTGTCCTGGCTCCCAGTCTCATGCCCTTGGAAGTGCTTCCCCTTGCAGGCCCTACAGTGGTCTCCCTAAAATGCTGACTGGATCATATAACTCCTGCTTAAACCATTTTAATGGCTCCTTAGACTAACAGACAGAAACAAAATATGGTCACATTTATACCTCAGGGACCATGCAAAGAAACTTAACAAGAGTTCAAAGGGAATAAGCTTGGAAAAAAAGGTAAGAACCTGGCTGGGCATGGTGGCTCACACTTGTAATCTCAGCACTTTGGGAGGCCGAGGTGGGTGGATCACCTGAGGTCAGGAGCTCGAGATCAGTCTGACCAACATGGTGAAACCCCGTCTCTACTAAAAATACAAAAATAAGCCAGGTGTGGTGGTGGGCACCTGCAATCCCAACTACTCTGGAGGCTGAGGCAGGAGAATCGCTTGAACCCAGGAGATACTAGGTTGCAGTGAGCCGAGATCACACTATTGCACCTCAGGCGG